ACTACTGGCCAGACTACTGTGAGACCTTAACAATGATGAAATCTCAACAAGGGAAAGAACTTAACAGAGCGAGTGACATACCTGCCCCTTGAGAGCCTCATGATGCCGTTGGTGTGCTCAGCTCCAGATCTGCAATGTTGGAGAAGTTGGTCAAGGCGGGACTGGAGGTCATGCGACATCTTTTAACCCTTAAAAGACTGTTTTCAATACAAACTCATGACAGAATCTGTAAAACAATGAAACAAAAAAAGTGACACATACATCCAGAATCATTGTTTTGTTTTACAATTTCAATAATTTGGATCAAAAATAAAAAAGGTAAGCACCAGCTCTTTACTTTTCTGTGTCCCAGGAGTTGGTATATCAGCCAGAAAAGACTGAAGGCATCCAGTGAGGGAATGAGTGGGACCATCATCTTGTACAACAGCACCATGAAGAGAGGATCAAAGTTCAGCAGCTGCATGGTCTCTGTTGAGAGGGTATCTGCACACCTTTGGAAATTAAATCACTTCAAATCGACTTGCAGAACAAACAAATTCACAATATTTAAAGTCAACCACAATATTGATATGGATATTTTTCAGATGCTAAGTCATACATTAAATGATCCAAATAATCAACACGCTTAACGCAAGTTCCACTGCCATGCATTACGTACAACAAAATTCCACCAACAACAGACACCTGTCAAAAAGTAGTCCAGTTCAGATGTCAGACAAATACACATGTAAGGAAGTTAGTTGTGTTCGAAAATAATCAAACTCATGACGGGGGACTAAAATGTCAAAATTAGGAGATAAAAGACACATGTATATTTAATGCGGTCAAAATCATGAGCTGAAAATAAAAAATTGAGATACAATGCAAATTCACATCCTAAAAGCTGTAAAGTGCTAAATAAAATGCAAAATTATGAAGGAAATGGTAATATTTATAAATTAAAGTGTCAGTTTCTTTGATTTATCTGACAATTTTGACTTGGTAAGTCAAAACTTTTGACTTGCTATTAACTCATCTTATCTTTCCCCCCCTCAAATCTCATTTATTTTCTTTTAAGGGCAGACATTTGCTTCTACATTTGTGTGTTGGTGAATTTTCACTAAATATAAATCAAACGGGCAAACTAACCACTAGGACGCTAGCTAGCATGGCAGGCTAATGTAGCAGGCTAGCACTGGCTTATAGTTTAAATGAGTACTTTAGCCACATTAAGTCATAAACCAGCCACCTTAAATACAAATGAAAAAAAAACAGACAAACTGGGGACTAATTTCTTATATAATCTTCATATCATAACATTACAAATCATTTAGTGCTATAATGTGTAGTAATATACACAAAGATTGCTTGTAGCATACGTTAGCTGCACTAGCTACAGCAGCTAAATATCATAAAAGTTCGTAAATAACATAAACTGCCTGTTAGCACGCAGCAGAAGTCTGCCACACAAGGTAGCTACTGTACATGAATATTGTTCGTAATTAACATACAGTGCCTGTTAGCCTGTAGCATAAATTTGCCACGCATAGTTGCACGCTGTTTATGTTAATACACGTTATATTGATCAATAATATAACGTGTATTAACATAAACAGCGTGCAACTATGCGTGGCAANCAAATCTCATTTATTTTCTTTTAAGGGCAGACATTTGCTTCTACATTTGTGTGTTGGTGAATTTTTACTAAATATAAACCAAACGGGCAAACTAACCACTGGGACGCTAGCTAGCATGACAGGCTAATGTAGGAGGCTAGCACTGGCCTATAGTTTAAATGAGTACTTTCGCCACATTAGGTCATAAACCAGCCACCTTTAACACAAATGGAAAAAAACAAACAAATAACAGACAAACTGGGGACTAATTTTTTATATAATCTTAATACCATAACATTACAAATCATTTAGTGCTATAGTGTGTAGTAACATACACAATGATTGCTTGTAGCATACGTTAGCTGCACTAGCTACAGCAGCTAAACATCATAAAAGTTCGTAAATAACATTAACTGCCTGTTAGCATGCAGCAGAAGTCTGCCACACAAGGTAGCTACTGTACATGAATATTGTTCGTAATTAACATACAGTGCCTGTTAGCCTGTAGCATAAATTTGTCACGCATAGTTGCACGCTGTTTATGTTAATACACGTTATATTGATCAATAATATAACGTGTATTAACATAAACAGCGTGCAACTATGCGTGGCAAATTTATTTATTGATCAACGTTGATCAATAATATAACCTGTATTAACATAAACAGCCCGTAGCGTCAGTTACACGAGTTAACGTAGCTAATACCATCAATTAGGCTTAAACTCCAAACTAACTTAACATTAAACTCCATCAACTAAACTTCACTCCCACCGCACCAATCTCCATTTAAAATACACTGACTTTTTAATTTCTATCTTCTCACCAGCGAAACTACACACATCAACCAGTATTTTTTGACACCCCCCCGCCGCCACCATCCGTGTTTACTTCCGTAAACACTGAGCACGCTCGCTGCGTGTGACGTCGTTGTGTCCGCTTCTGCGCATGCGGGATACTATTGGGTCGTATGAATTTCACACAGCCAAGTCGCAGTTAATTGGAAATGTGAACGAACTCGCAAAAAGTCGGATTTCTCAAAAAAAAAAAAAAATCTGAATTGAGCATTAAGTCCTGCAGTCTGGACGTAGCTAATCTGTCGGATTGTTCAGTCAGATGATACGCCGCTATCCTTATTTGTAACATATAGTGTTATGTCGGAGTCGGAATCCAAGGCTGTCGGTATGTTAGTCCCCTGTGTCGCAGGAGTTTCTCTAAAACTCAGGAGGATTTTCAGCAAACACAGCATTCCTGTTCATTTCAAGCCCACGAACACCCTGAGAAAGAAGCTGGTTCACCCTAAGGACAAGACACCAAGACACAAATAAAGCAACGTGGTGTATGCAGTCCAGTGCAGCGAGGAATGCCCAGACCTGTACATCGGGGAGACTAAACAACCGCTCCACAAGCACATGGTTCAGCACAGAAGAGCCACCTCCTCAGGACAGGACTCAGCAGTCCACCTGCACCCCAAGGACAAAGGACACTCACTGGAAGACAACAACGTACAGATTTTGGCCTGCAGGGAGGACAGATGGTTTGAGAGAGGAGTGAAAGAAGCCATCTATGTCAAACTGGAAAGACCATCCCTCAGCAGAAGTGGAGGTCTGAGGCATCACCTCTCACCTGTTTACAACTCAGTCCTAAGATCTCTCCCCAGGAAGATAAAACCGCATTCACACCTAACCACAAAAGACCCTAACGAACCCTATTGTGTCAGGGGGAGCACTAACGACTCACATAACGAGGGGAGGAGCAACAACACCCAATTGAAACCGAAACTCAGGTGTTAATGGCTCCTTTAGGATATCAGTATCTGGAACTCCCAACTGGTCAGTCAGAGCTGAAGAAGCCTCTTGGGTGAGAGGTGAAACGTCTTCAACGAAGTCAAGCAGGTCCAGTTGCTACGATTAAAATACCAGAATAAAATTTGGAGCTTGTGCTTTCTGCCGAGATATTTACCATCAGCAGCATTTGCAGCTGTATGTGGCTGCAAGTAAAATCCATTTAAACAGTTTTAGGGCAACATAACAAATCCAAAGGACAAAAAACCTGCACCTGTCATGTAAATTAAGAAAGAGATCAGGTGTGCAGAACTAAGTCTGCAAGGCTCCAAACACATTAATTAGAAGTTAATCTTAGGATCAATACATGGAGTTATGGAAGCGCATTCCATTTACTGGGTAAAAAAAAAAATAGACACACGATCTCGTAATTATGAGATCAGGTGTCTTTTATTTATTTATTTTTTTTTTTGAATGAAGTGACTCCTGAACAGATTTTTTTTTTTTAAACTAACCAAATAATCATGCTTTAATATGTAAAGCTGCAGGATGAAAAACAACAACAAACAATAATTTAAAGTTGAGAGAAGAAATGGTGCTGCATAAGTACTTTATCAAGTGTACTATTTTTGGTTTGTTTTCTTACTGGGCTGTTCTGTAACTGAGGCCTTCATGAATCAGTGTATTCAGATTTTGAACCAGCTGCACACATGTGTAGCTCACTGTGGCAGACTGTCCCCTGGTTCAAGATGTTTTGGCTCCACCTGGTGGCAGAATGACAGCGCTGCAGTTTGGTTTATTGGCTGCTGTGCAGTAAAACTTACGTTTCTTTCTTTCTTTTTTTCTTTCTTTCTTTTTTTTTAAACCAGCTGTTCACCGAGGCGCTGCACACTGCCACCATTGTTTTCTGTTCTCTAGGTACAAAAAAAGTGTCCTCAGTTTCTTTTAAAAGGTGCTATTTGCAGTGATTTTCTATTTTTCTCACTTTGCATCTATTTTGTAATATTGTGACCATTTGCATTCATTTTGTAAATGTTTATTTGTGTCTCTTTTTGCCATTTTGTATCTATTTCGTGTACATTTTGTGCCTTTCTTGCAAATTGTGTGTACTTGTGTTCATTTTCTGTTTGTTTTTTTTGTATTATTTTCATGCTTGTTTCTTTTTGCGTTCATTGTGTGTCTATTTTTGGTCATTTTGTTTATGTTGATTACGTGTACTTGTGTTCATTTTGTGTCATTAGAAAAGAAATTCTACTTTTTGGTTTTTTTGTCTATTTGTCTTTCATTTTGCATCTATTTGTTTATTGGTTTGAGTTGCTTTCTGGTCAATTTTTGATTGTTTTTTTTTTTTGTCTATTTGTATTTAATTTTTCTCTCTTTTTTTATTTATTTATTTTTTTTTACATTATTTGTGTCTATTTTTTTTTTTTACATTATTTGTGTCTATTTGTGGTCAAAATCCTAAATCCAAAGTCTCTAATTTTCTTCAGGACACAATACATTTCCAAAACTTGGCAGCCGTTCACCTTGTAGAGAGGAAAATGTTTTTGAGTTTTTGGCCTACAGAGAACATCACCGGTTTGAGGACACACAGGTGAAAATAAGAGATGTGTGACACTGACAGACAATATGTTGTATCTGGAATACACCTTTTAATTAGACACTAGTACAAAGTATGAGAGAATATTTGTAGCAGTGAGTGACACCTGCATGTCAGTGTTTCCAGTTTCTGTTGAAGAAAATAGCACCTAAACTCGTGAAAAGGTCCTGGAGGAGGTGTTCAGTCGGTAACAGGTGGATTCAGTCCGACTGGAAGCTCCAGAGAGAGTTCCTCACAGATCAGAAACAGAACATGCAGAAAGTAGCTCCTGGTGATGAGGAGCTCCCACAGTTCCCTCGTGTGCTGAGGTTGGCAGTTTAACCGTTGCAGAGCGGATGAAGGTTTGGTGTTCCTCCTTGAACAAGAACGTGTTGTTAAAGGTTCCTGGTTCAGATTTCCTCCTCCTCTTCATCAGCTCTTCCTCACACACAGTTTCTCGCACTCCTTCTGCGTCATGAAGCGGTTCTTGTTGCCGCCGCAGCCGCCGTACCAGAAGCGAGAGCAAACGCCACGCTTGCTGTCGTAGAACCACATCAGGGTGTAATCCTGGCAGCTGCCGGCGTCCCCTTTGAGCAGACAGATGTCTGACGGAGACGACAAGGAGACACATCATCGACTTTTAGTACAGAATCTCAGGACTGCTGCTCCAGATCATTCACATTTTCATTTCGGTCCCACATAAAGCCCAAAAGGACGTAAACATTTGTGATCTCAGAGACAAAAATCATCTCTCAGCAGAGACTTTGAGAGGAGGACAGCAAACAAAACTCATCGACAAAAACTGATCTTTTATACAAAGGGCCAAAACGGAGACAATCAAGCACACTCACATTCACACCTAGAGACGATTTGGAATCTCAACTAACCTCAGCACATGTACTTTCCCTCATTTTTTCTGTATTTTTTTCTTTCTTTCTTTCTTTCTTTCTGCTCACAACCGAGACTCGAGTATTCATTTTGCACCATCTCATGTGGAAACGCGTGCTGGTATGACAATAAAGAACCTTGAATCCATGTCTTTGGACTGTGGGAGGAAGTCCGAGCACATGGAGGGAACCACACCAGCTCCTCACAGAATGAGCCCAGTCCAGGATGCAAACCCAGGACCTTCTAGCTGTGAGAAGCCGGCGCTAACCATTGTGTCATTCATTGTTTTGTTTGTGTCTTGTTTTTGTTGTTACCAGTCTTGTTTGTGCTGTTTTTGTTGTTTTCTGTTGTGTTTGTGCCACTGTGTCTCATTTGTGTCAGTTCATATCAATTAGTCTTATGTTGCTTTTGTTTTCTGTCTCATTTGTGTCGCTTGTTTGTGTTGTGTCATGTCTTATTTATGTTGTATATATAGTGCATGTACCTTGCCTCTTGAATTTACAGTTGTGTTTGCTTGCTTTTCTTACTGTCACTTTCCTGCTGTGATGTTGCAAAATTCCCCGAATGAAGGATATTCTATTCTATTCTATTCTATTCTATTCTATTCTATTCTATTCTATTCTGGGCCTTATTTGTGTTGTTTTGTGTCTTGTTTGTCTCACTTTGTGTCTGTTTGGGATAGTTTTGCCTTTCTTTTTTTGTGCCTCACTTTTCTTAAATGATGTCTCATTTTTGTCATTTTTGCTATTTTGACATGCCAGAACCGTGATGTGGACTCACTGGTAGGACCACAAACACAGGAGTGCTTTGGGGTTTATATCCATCCATTATCTATACACTGCTTAATCCTCATTAGGGTCGCGGGGGGCTGGAGTCTATCCCAGCTGACTCAGGGTGAAGGCAGGGGACACCCTGGACAGGTCACCAGTCTATCACAGGGCTACACTTAGAGACAGACAACCAAGCACACTCACATTCACACCTATGGACAATTTAGAATCACCAGTTAACCTCAACATGTTTTTGGACTGTGTGGGAGGAAGCCACAATAATCTCAAAAATATCACCTTCTAGTCAGTTTTGGTCTTTGTAGTTAGTTGTAGTCACTCTGAGTCTCTCTGGCGGTTGTGTGTCTGTGGTTTTCTGTCTTTGTGCAAATTTTGTGTCTATTTCTATTCATTTTGCTCTTTTTGGTCATCTGTGTTCATTTGTGTTGGTTTTATACATATTCTTCAGTAAAAATGCTGTGTATTCGTTTCCTCTGTCCCCTTCTGGACATTGCATGTCTATCTATGTTCATTTTGTATCTTCCATTTCTTTCTGTTTTTGGTCAGTTTGTGATTATTTGTATTAATTTTGCAGCTTTTTAGTTGGTTTGTACCATCTTCTTGTCATTTTTCACTTCACTCTAGTTTCAAGTCTGTGGTTAGTTTGTCATTGTGATGCACAGACTTGCAATTCAATTCTATTATTATTATTATTATTTTATGTATTTTCTGTTTTTTTCCTCTAATTTTACCTTAAATACTTTCTTTTTTTTTGTTATTAGTTTTGTTGATGATATAAATATGGTTTCCCTGTTCTGAAAATGTTCTTTAAAACATTTTAAATAAAAAAGTGTTTTTAAAAAAGTCTGTGGTTCGTTATATGTGGTCAGTCTGAGTGTGTTTGTGGCTGTTGTGTGTCTGGTAATTTTGAGGTTGTTTGCAGTCGTGTTTTATTGGTTTGTGTTTACTTTAAAGTCTTTTTCATTGGTTTGCATCTTTTGGTGGCATTCATAATATGTTTGTTGTCACTTTGTGTCTCCTTGAAGCTGTTTTGAGTCAATCTGAGTCTCTGTCATTGTTTGTGTTTGTAAGTTTATAGTTACTTCAAACAGATCAGTTCACTTTGTGCTGACAGCATGAATCGGTCCGGTGTTTACCTTTAGAGACAGCGCTGTCCAGTGGTGTCATCGGCATGATTTTCACATCTGTCAGAGAAGGCAGTCAAACAGAAGCTTTGTGAAACTGTTTAATCAACAGCACATCTGATTCTGGGAACTCTGACATTGAGCTGCGGTTCACAGGTTTCATAAAAGCTGTTTACAACTTCACCAACTGAGTTTAGGAGCGGAAATAACTGTAAAACTAAACCTGTCAGTGATCAAAACACCAGACAACCACAGCAGGAGTTTAAAAGCGTAGATGAAGATAATTACAATCAATTCACAACTTTAGTTAAACAAGAGTCCATCAGTCCACTTCTGATCATCTAAATCAATCAGTCTCTGGTTTTTCTAACTGGAAATGCAAATAAAACCACATGCAGAACCAAACTACATGTTGGGTTCAATTTCAAGTGCAACATTTCATTATCATCTACAGTCTTCTACTTTCACGTGTGATCTTTCAGTTTCATGTGTAATATTTACAATTTTCCAATTTCACATGCAAAATCTTTGTTTCATGTATGGTATTTCAATTTCATGTGCAGTTTTATGAGCAATATTTCAATTTTAAGTGCAAGATTTGATTTTTTTATTTGTAATAGTCAACGTTGAGTGCAAAATCTTGATTTTCATGTACGTTATTTCAATTTGATTTGCAATTTTCCAGTTTAATGTGCAATATTCCTTTAACAAGTGTACGGTTTTAATTTTAATGTGAAACATTATATCACAGTATGACTCTACTACTTCAGTATTACAGCCACTATTACGTCTTATTTTAGTCAACTTAGTTTTATTCTAATTCGTGCCTATGTATTATACTTTTATCTTTCTGTCTTTCTGCCAGGAACTGCATTTGTTCTCAGGTCATTTATATTTTTCTGAGGAACATTAGGCACAAGAATTTCCTTCAGGATTAATAAAGTTGTAAAGTTGTAAAGTAATAAACTTGTTTCATTTTATTTGATCTTATCTTAACACACATTTGGATTTAGATCTGCACATGTAATAAGAAGAATGTAGACTACCATATAATGACTGATGCTGACTGATGAATCCTCCTAGATTGTTATCATATACTGACAACTGAATGCTAATATTTTCTTCATCAGGACAGTTTCAAGTGTTGACTATTTCTCCTGTCTTGACACAAGCTCCATCCTTCTGGCCTGAGACATAAACTGATGGCAGCTCTGAAGGCCTATCAGTGTGCATTTTTGTGTAAAAATCTGTGCTTATGTGTTTCTGTGTATAAATGGGGGTTTGTGTGTTTGTGTTACCAGTAAATCCAGCTGCTGCCTGTGGACTCTGTCTGTCTACTCTTCTCACAGAGTTGATGGCGTCCAGCTGAACCGTCGGGAACGACATTCCGACCTGAGCGTCATCGTTGATCTCCTCCTCCAGCTCTGCAGAGCCCTGACTGAACACACAGCAGCAGACACACACCAAGTCATCACAGTGTGTTTCTGAACAACACAATTCAGCAGAGCCTGTGTGTTCCCACCCGCGAATCTTAGTGTTTTAAAGCTGCTCTGAATATTTCATGCTGGCTAATGACGTTTAGCTCGAAGATTTGAACCAGAGGGTGGTCACCACATCTGCAGCTTTTAAGCCTCTTTTAGCCACAAATTTTGGTTTTGCCCAAACGCAAGTTTAAAAACTGTATAACCTGAAAGAATTATGAGGTTGTCAGCATTTTGACCTGACCTACTCATTTGTGATGTGTGCTTCTGTCCAGACAACTAGCCAATTCAGAGGTTAAATTTACGATACTTCACAGTTCACTTTATTTTAGATGCCTTGTTCAAAAATTCTCTAATTTATTTATTTTTTAAAATTAAAATAAAATACACAGATTCTGTAAAAAACTCTCCATGACTGACTCAACTGTAAACAACAATGAAACATTTTGAGAATTTTCAGGTAAACTACAGGCAGTGTTTCCACAGAGTAGAGGGGAGACGACAAGAGAGACTGAGAGGCAAAGAAAACCTACTGGATCAATAAAATAAATGCAGCATGGCTCAAAAATGGTGAACAGAGGAGCAAGTAGTTGAAAGACACATTCAGCATGGTGAAACATCTTTCTAGAGCTGATGTGCAGAGTAGAGTGAAAAATTTTGTAGAGGCTGTAAATAGAATAATAGTTAATAATTTAATAGCTAATATAAATAGTTAAATATTTATAGTACGAGGAGATTTTTTTCCAGCGTTGGTAATAAATCTGGATAAAATGTTGGACATGTTGATTCCATTTTTTTTTTTGTTTGACATTTTTGTTGAATAAATAATCAAGTAAAATTTTCTTTTATCTGAGTTCTGTTAGTCTAACAGTTTCATACTGTTTCTGAGTTCTCTCTCCTTCTCGTCATGGTTGTGCTTGTTTCTATGGAGGTGCAGGACTTTATATTGCAGTGAAAAATGAGGCCACAGTGAATAAATATGAGACACGCAGAAGTTGCTCGTGGAGGGTGCATCTGCCTAAAATAAATTCTAACTTTTCTAACGTTATGCACCAAGATATGCCTTACACTGAAAAGCAGGTTCAAACACAAGTTAAATGTCATCTAGACATTTTGAAAGAAATACAGTCCACCTTAAACCCCAAGCTTTGGATGCTGTTTGGCCTGTAAATCACCACATTTATAATTTCTGCTCTTATCTAAGGCTGAAATTCTTGCAGCGTCTTCATCACTGCCTTTATCTTCCTCTGACAGCCGGTTCAGTCAGTACGTCACATTTACAGACCTGCAGTTTGTGCTCAGCTCTGGCAGCCTTTTACTGAAAAAGAAATGTGGGTAAGTTGGTGCTTTGTTTGTGTGTGAATCTTTGTACCCGTAATAGAAGAGCAGAGAGTCGTCCTGGCCTGTCAGCTGCCTGCAGGTTGGCTGCAGTGAAGGTGGAGGATACGAGTTAATCCCCTCTAAATAAACACAGAAACATACGTGTTTGTGGCTGGTTACAAACAATTATTTCTATTACTTTTTGATATTTCTGTTTTGTCTTGTTAAGTTTTCTGTCAAATGACTTGCAGCACTTGCTTTTTATTTTTCTCATATGTAAAAAATCTGCTTGACAGTAAAACCAATTCTAAATAAGAAGAAATGTGAAGTGAACTCAGAGCAGAGTGACTTCTTACTGCTGAGGGTGGACAGGAAGACTCTGAAGAAGCGCTGGGCGTAGCCCTGCTCGCCGGCCTTCAGCCTGCTGACGTGGATCAGGTGCTGCTGTAGGGGCAGACTAGCCAGCTCCTCCACCTGCGTCCGGTTGTAGTGATCGCCGACCGTCACCACGAACAGCGCCACCCCCTCGCACTTGGCCTTCTGGGAGACGTAGTGCAGCCTGGCCTGGTCCTCCCAGGCCGTCGAGGTTCCCACCACAGCTAGCAAAGCCCTCCTCCTGGACGGCTGGCCGGCCTTCAGCAGGCCCTCCTTCAGGATGTAGTCCAGTGTCCGTCCCAGCGCAGAGGAGCCGCCCTGCTGCCGCATCTTCTGGGTCAGGTGCATCCTCATCAGCTCCTGGGTCTGGAAGGTCTCCAGGTTGAACTCCACCTTGGCGGACCGGGCACCTCCCTGCTGGACCACGGCCACTCGGGCCTTGTTGCCGGCCCGGCGGGGCTGAGGGCTCACAGCCAGCTGCTCCACCACAGAACCCAGAAGCTGCTGGACGCCGGCGTACTGGTCAGCCTGTATCTCCCTGGAGCTGTCGGCCACCATGACCAAGTCCACGTCAACCTCCTGAGGACGCACCGGCTCCTGGATGAAGAGGCACTCCTCTAGACGTCTGCACGGGTCTGAACAAACAACATCACAAAACAGCCAATAATCTCTAACTGGTTAAGATTTATGATTTAAAGTTCTGACTAAACCTGCCTGTCTGCTTCAAATGTTTGGCATAAAAGCACGAGCATAAATTAAGTCAATTATAAAAACCTTTTTTTTTATTTTTTTTTTTTATAGATATCTGTAGTAAATATTAACCCATAAAAAAAAGTTTCAAAAAATTTCATGATACACAGTAATTCATTCTTTTACAACATTTAAATGTACAATTACACTATTTTCAAAGTATTTAAACATGTAAAAAAAAATGTTTATCTTCTTTCGGTAAATTTCAGATAATAACTACAATAAATCACAAAAATTAATAAATATTATCCACTTAAAAAATTAGTATGTTTACAAATGGAAGTTTGTTTTATTGCAATGTGGGACTGTAATACTACACAGTTTTACTGTATTTGAATCATCTGAAAAAAGCATCATCTTGCAGATTGAACACATTGTACTTTTGCTAATATTTCCAGTGACTTATAATAATGTAAATGAAGCAGGAAACTCATTTTTTACCGTAACAGATTGCACAGTTCTTGATCTTCCTCAGGTCAGCAGCTTGGTCCTGCTGCCTCCTCAGCACCGTGTAGATGGAGTTTCCAGTGTCGTCAACCTGAGAGCAAACAGCAGCTCCTGTTAATAACCTTTAGCAGCAACAGGTCTATTTTTCAGCCCTGACAGCAGGATGGATTCGGCATCAGACAGTGACTGTGATCAGAGCTGTAAAGGGACATTTACCTCCATCGCTTGTCTAATATTAGCGGCATTCCTGAGAGCGATGATTGCCGGGACGATGTTAAGACCTCGGTACGCCATTACAGCTGTGACAATCTCATTGGTGTCCTCTGATTCATCGTTGGAGAAGAAGATGGCCACCCTCCTCATCATCAGGCCTGAACGGACCCGTTTGAAAATGTGCTGACCTACAAACTGCATGGCGGCCCCCAGGTGGCGCCGGCTCGTGGTCCTCTCCAGGGCAATGTTCCTCACGGCGTCTTCCAGCTGAGTCTTACGGCGGTAGTCCTGGAAGCGGATCAGGTACTTGGTGTAGTCGCTGTATCCCACCACGGCCACGCGAGCGCCGTTCGGACAGTTGCTCTCAGCGATGTTCATGTTCTTCAGCAGGGTGAGAAGAGCCGAGCGCTGCCTCTCGAAGGCGGCCGGCGTCACATCATCTGACATGTCCAGACCGAACACCAGCTCAGTGGGATAGGCCGGACACAGTGACTGACCTGGAGGAGGTAAGGTGGAGGTAAAAGCCAAACTGTTTAAAAATCTGACAGTTTTAATATCCAAGTTATTGACACTTTTGTGTCAAAAGTTTGTGTCATAAGTGGCTCAAAAACCTGAATATTAATGCGCAACAGTGTAAAAAATCTTAATATTAATGCACAAAAGTGTCAAAAAATTGACATGAAAATGCACAAAAGTATCAAGAAGTTGGATATTAAGGCACAAAAGTGTCAATAAACTGAATTCTAATGCATGAATGCCTCAAAAACCTACAAAATAACACTCGAAAGTGTCAAACATCTGGGTACCAGTGCACTAAAGTGTCAAACATCTGGATACCAGTGCACAAAGTGTCAAAAACTGACATATTAATGCAGAAATGTGTAAAAAAAAAAAACAAAAAAAAAACCTACAAAATAACATGCAAAAGTGTCAGACATCTAGATATCAGTACACAAAAGTGTCAAAAACTTACATAATAATGCACAAAAGCATCACTAAACTAATTAATACACATATATGTCAAAAATGTTAATATTCACACAAAAATGTGCCGAGAAACTGGATATTAATGCACAAACGTGTGAAAAGTCTGGGTATTAACATTCAAATGTGTCAAAAACCTACAAAATACCACACAAGAGTCAAACATCTGGGTATTAATGTACAAAAGTGTCAAAAAGGTCAAAACTGCGAGCGGGGAAGATTTAACTTGAAAGTGTTTTGAGTGAAGTAGCAACATCATCTGAAATCAACAAACTGCGGTACAAATAAAAAAATGCTCTTGAGTACAGAGAGGAAAGTGCATCCACAGAGTCCCGTGTAGAATAAAAGCAACAGAGGAGAGCAGCTCTGTTATTCATGTTGATCCGATCCCTGATCAGTGCAGCCACTGAACACTGTTGGTGCTGATTGATCGGAGGTCCAAGCACTCACTGAGTTTGGACACTCTGCTTAGCTGTCTCTGGAACTGAACCCGTAGAGTGCACAGGCCTCTGCACAACATACTGTACATGAAAAAAAAATTTCCCACCACTAGTTTCTGTTTAAAACTGATTTAAAAAAAAAAAAAAATAAAAGCGTTATGCAACTGACAGCCTCCGTCCAGAATCAACAAGAGCTACAGATGTGAAAAATTACACCCAAGAAGTTCTACTGAAAAGGTTCAAAGGTTTAAATGCTTTCCTCTTGACTTCACTGATTTGGAGTAGCAGGAGTGTTGCACTGCACTCACCATATCTGCTGAATCTGACAGAATGGAGACATACATACCCTGGGAACAAGCTGTGGAGGACAAAGCAACATTTACAGAACAGAGGTTAGTGATTCCGTGGCGCAGTTTTGCATCTTCAAAATAAAATGAGTCCTTAAAAGTCACATTTAAACACTTAAATGAGACTTTTTTGTGTCTTGTGTATCGACACTCACCACAGTTGTCTCTGATGAAGTTGATCATGTCACACTCCTGAGGCAACAGATGTTATATTTAGTATAAACACATTTAACGTCAGCAGGCTTGTTGAATTGAAGGTGAACTTACAGTCTTTTGTCTGCCTCCAGGAAGACCTCTGGGCCCCTGCAAGGAGGAAAAACAGAGATGTTAGGAAACTTGTATGCTCACCTTTTAATTCTGTGGCTCAAAACCTTCTAAGATCCAAACCTGAGTCAGAAAACACTTTAAGTTAAGGTTTTCCTTACAATCAAAATGATTGATCAAAACACCCGTATGTCTTCTCCTTCAGAGTCATTCCATCTCAAATCATCATCATGACGATCTCTGATTTGCCTGCCTGAGCTTTTTGCATTATTAAATATGGATTTTTAAAAAAGAGATTTGTGAAAATTTAGCTTCATATATCAAAATACTTTCCAAGATTTTATTATTTAAAAAAAAAAAATTGCCCGCTGATCAGAGTCAGTTTGTTTTTTTTCCGCTCACTGCAGTTTGAGGCTGTTTGAATGAGGGTACCTCATTAATTTCTTTTATCTCATTCAGCAATTTTCACTGTTGTTTCTCATGATGTCAGTAATTCAGAACCTGCAATGCCGGACCAGTGGTTTAATAATCTCTGACCATGGGTGAGTGAAAGAAATTGTTATAAAAAGTCACATCTTTGAGGACAAATGAACAAAAACATTGATAATGCAGAAGTCAACCAGTGATATTTCCTGAACCATATGTAGCTGCATGTCAAAATAATACAAAACAAAACATCTAGAATTTTCAAACTCCAGAACTCTGTTATACTGAAATTAGACCATCTACCAATATTTTAGTTTTTTGTGGTACAACTTGTCTTACCTGCTTAATCAGGTATGAAAGTTAAACAAAAATAAGTGCTTTTTCATATTTGTGATAAAGTATTTCATGATAAAATATTGTATATGTCATACATAAGGTGTTTTGGAGAGTCAGCTCCTGACGTGCTGAGAGTAACAGGGGTTTGTGTTTTTAAGGACTTAAACTCACTTTGTGTCCTGGACTTCCTGGATCTCCAGTCACTCCTGATTCTCCCGGCCAGCCTGAATTCCCCTGCATTGATCACATGTAAAAACGCTGATGAAGCAAAAACCGTTTTTTCACATAAACATATCGGAGTTAAATCAGCACTTACATTTCGACCAGGGTTCCCTTTGCGTCCTGGATATCCTTTAGGTCCCTGCAGACCATCCTCGCCCTGAAAACAAGGAAACATAAAAGCCATGTCTGAACAGTTTGAACTCCAACATGCTTTTCATGTCTTTGGTGTGAGGTTGGACAGCATTAAGACCGAGTTGTTGAAAAATGGAGGGACTCACCCCAAGACCAGGGAAACCAGGAAAACCAGGATCTCCCTGTAGAGAAGAAGTAAAAAGCTGTAATTGAACTGTGGCTCTCTAGGATTTTCCACCTGTTTGAAGTCTGTGTAAGAAAACTTTTTAGGAAATAGAAAATATCGAAAAACTTGTTATTTGCAGCTGAGGTACAAAAGTTGTTGAATTAAACATCACTGAATCTTCTACTGGAGCTTTTTCATCGTTCTCCAGCTGTTTATCTCCTAACATTTTCATAGCAGGACTGGATGGAAGCCAGCCTTCAGTCTAAGTTTCCTCTACTTATTTTAGGTGTTACATTCAGCTCTACCTTTGCACCTTTACGTCCTGCAGGTCCAAATCCATCTCTGCCATCATGACCCTGAAAAAGACAGACAGCGTCTCAAACTGAACTGTATATAAACAGCTTAAACGCAGTTTTATAAACTCGCCTCCGTACCGATAATCCTCTGTGTCCCAGTGGTCCTGGAACACCTTTAGGACCTGGATCTCCTGGTTGGCCCTTAAAAACAAATGACATACAGGTTAACGAAACTCCTTCAGAACATTCAGCTGTATTCAAATTTTAGACATTTTTTACTGCAGTCTATCCAAACCTGGTGGAAAATCTTATTGTCCTAACGTCTTGCTATATCTATAATCCAGTGTCTGGACACTTTTCCCTTAATTTTACCATCACACATAATGCTGCAAGTGATATTTTAACTTATTCTGCTTTGTATGAGCCACACATCACTTGGTCCAAACTGAAATATCTCAACAACAACTGTATGCCGTTTTCTACAGACAATCACGACCATGTGATGAATCCTACAAATCTATGGCAAGGCTGTTACATTTACTAGCCGAGTTTGACTATCTGTAATTGAAATTAATGTCATTCTGACTGGTTCCACACCATTGCTAGAGATCTCTGTAATTTATCTGGACTTGTCGGATACATGGCTGCAGATACCACTTCTCAGACACTTCAAACAGTCTTGACATCACTTATCGTTTAAACATTTTACAGCTCAGTTTGATTAACGGGAATAAAAAACCAAAAACAAAACAGATATCAACATCTTCATTGTGACTATGCTGAGTTTTTATTCCATATCAAACACTATCCTGACCAATCAAAACCACATTTAGTGATCTCTGTAAATAGGTTCGGACCAGTC